CACAACCAAGGGCTCCACAACAAACACGCACACAACCAAGGGCTCCACAACAAACACACACAACCAAGGGCTCCACAACAAACACACACAACCAAGGGCTCCACAACAAACACACACAACCAAGCGTTCCACAACAAACACACACAACCAAGGGCTCCACAACAAACACACACAACCAAGGGCTCCACAACAAACACACACAACCAAGGGCTCCACAACAAACACACACAACCAAGGGCTCCACAACAAACACACACAACCAAGGGCTCCACAACAAACACACACAACCAAGGGCTCCACAACAAACACACACAACCAAGGGCTCCACAACAAACACACACAACCAAGGGCTCCACAACAAACACACACAACCAAGGGCTCCACAACAAACACACACAACCAAGGGCTCCACAACAAACACACACAACCAAGGGCTCCACAACAAACACGCACAACCAAGGGTTCCACAACAAACACACACAACCTATAACTGTTTACAAATATACACTCTAGCACAACACAAACTATCTCTGGGGGCAACAAGTACAATTAACTGACAGCAACTAGAAAAGGTAGCACAGTGTTACAGACCGCTCCATTGTGTCGCTTGGATGGCAAAGATCATTGATCAAGTCATTATTTAAAAACATAAAGTAGAGCGTTGAGTGGAGGGATTGAATCCAAGACTAAATCATGGTACAGCACCATCTGATGACGTCATGGTACGACACCATCTGATGACGTCATGGTACAGCACCATGAGATTACGTCATGGTACAGCACCATGAGATTACGTCATGGTACAGCACCACCTAATTACGTCATGGTACAGCACCATCTGATCACGTCATGGTACAGCACCATCTGATCACGTCATGGTACAGCACCATCTGATCACTTCATGGTACAGCACCATCTGATCACGTCATGGTACAGCACCACCTGATCACGTCATGGTACAGCACCATCTGATCACGTCATGGTACAGCACCACCTGATCACGTCATGGTACACCACCATCTGATGACGTCATGATATAGCACCGTGACATAAGTGGGTTTCATCTCGGCACCATAAATCACAGCAACCGTCAAATGTTTGAGATTTTCCCCGCCTAGTGTGATCCTCTTGTGGCGTGGCACGTAGTGTGGTTTTTATAGCTCGCAACCTACAAGTAAACAATGGCAGCCAGCCGACAGCTGACTTGTAAGCTGGTTATAAACTTTAAGCCGTTGGTAGTCAGACTTATGGTGCTGGGTGCTGTACGTCTGTGGTAGACTTGTGGTGCTGGGTGCTGTAAGTCTGTGGTAGACTTGTGGTGCTGGGTGCTGTAAGCCTGTGGTAGACTTGTGGTGCTGGGTGCTGTAAGTCTGTGGTAGACTTGTGGTGCTGGGTGCTGTAGGCCTGTGGTAGACTTGTGGTACTAGGTGCTGTAAGTCTGTGGTAGACTTGTGGTACTGGGTGCTGTAAGTCTGTGGTAGACTTGTGGTGCTGGGTGCTGTAAGCCTGTGGTAGACTTGTGGTACTAGGTGCTGTAAGTCTGTGGTAGACTTGTGGTACTGGGTGCTGTAGGTCTGTGGTAGACTTGTGGTGCTGGGTGCTGTAGGTGTGGTAGACTTGTGGTGCTGGGTGCTGTAAGTCTGTGGTAGACTTGTGGTGCTGGGTGCTGTAAGTCTGTGGTAGACTTGTGGTGCTGGGTGCTGTAAGACGTGTTGCACAGTAAAAAGCATTTAACGTCATAAAACAGCTTTACTGGCCAGAAAAGATGCTGTATATAGGCCTATAATAAGCTTCAAATAATCTCAGATTTAGAGAATAAAAATTTGACGATTTACCAAAATATGGTATGTGGGCCCACGTGATCATGTTTATCTAATTACGTCAATACTCTTAAAGTTTGACCTAGCTTTACAGTGTCAGTCAACAACTCGACAGTGTCAATTATTTGCCAGTGACACTAGCAAAGATGACAGTAGCTGTATCGTCTTACACACGATATCGTGGCTGCCACAATCTGGACCTTAACAGAGCTGACACCACGTGACAAAAACATTTCATTTGACGTCGGGGTCAGAGGTCAGTGGGGTCAGTATGTTAGGTCAAAGAGGTCATGGATATTTTAACGTGGCTTTTGTTTTGTTTTTTGTTTTTGTTTTTTTTTTAGGATTTTTGCTTTTTTTGCTAGGTATTTTTTTTTATGGAGAAGCGTGCCTGGCGGTGGCGTTGAAAAATTTCCACCAGTTTCTCTTTGATCTTGTGCACTCCCGTGGACCCCACTCGAGTTTGTCGCCACGCGTGTACCATTTGTGTCTCCAGTCAAACTGGTCCAGACAGCAGTCAGTCCTGTCCTGTAAACAGAGTACCGTCAAGCAATGGCTTGACAGGTTCGTGTCCGGCAGCCCACGAGTCTGACCCGTTTCTGTAGGTCCGTCTCACGATCCTAGTCTAGTTTGGAGTTTTTTGTCTAATGACTTGCAGTTTAGCTGCACACTGCTCCAACATCACAGATTAATGACATCACGCCTACCCACAATACGATGACGTAATCAGGTTGTGTGCAGTGCGAGGAGACGTATGTACGCATATGTAGGCAGTGAGAAAACATGTTGTTTTTTTAACTGTGGTTACCGGAAAAACAAAACGATGCGATGTTTATTTCTACTTTGGCGTTTACTGGGATTGCGCGATGCGCATGGCCCTAATGCTAAATATAGATGCCTTAAAGACAAATCCAACAAATCATCTTGTTTGCTCACCAACACTCGGCAGTTTTTCAATGCCACGAGTTGTCCAATGTTGTTCGTACAAATTAGAGATTTGTTCAGACATAAACATGTTGTCTTGTGGAGTCAAGAATGTACGTACATTACAAAGTAAACACAATAGTGCAAAGGTTAAAGTATTGGCCACTCACCAGATGTCAACAAAGGCCACTCACTACATGCCACTCACCAGATGTCAACAAAGGCCACTCACTACATGCCACTCACCAGATGTCGACAAAGGCCACTCACCAGATGTCAACATAGGCCACTCACCAGAGGTCAACAAAGGCCACTCACTACATGCCACTCACCAAATGTCAACAAAGGTCACTCACCAGATGTCAACATAGGCCACTCACTACATGCCACTCACCAGATGGCAACAAAGGCCACTCACCAGATGTCAACAAATGCCACTCACCAGATGTCAACAAATGCCACTCACCAGATGCCAACAAAGGCCACTCACCAGATGTCAACAAATGCCACTCACCAGATGTCAACAAATGCCACTCACCAGATGCCAACAAAGGCCACTCACCAGATGCCAACAAATGCCACTCACCAGATGTCAACAAAGGCCACTCACCAAATGCCAACAAAGGTCACTCACCAGATGTCAACAAATGCCACTCACCAGATGCCAACAAAGGCCACTCACCAGATGTCAACAAATGCCACTCACCAGATGTCAACAAATGCCACTCACCAGATGTCAACAAATGCCACTCACCAGATGCCAACAAAGGCCACTCACCAGATGTCAACAAATGCCACTCACCAGATGCCAACAAAGGCCACTCACCAGATGTCAACAAATGCCACTCACCAGATGCCAACAAAGGCCACTCACCAGATGTCAACAAAGGCCACTCACCAGATGTCAACAAAGGCCACTCACCAGATGTCAACAAATGCCACTCACCAGATGCCAACAAAGGCCACTCACCAGATGCCAACAAAGGCCACTCACCAGATGTCAACAAAGGCCACTCACCAGATGTCAACAATGGCCACTCACCAGATGTCAACAAAGGCCAGTGACCAATGGTCAGCCGTGATTACACAATACCGCCTACAACAAACACAATGTAGCAGGTCAAAGGTTGTACGGTTGTCAAGTTATACTGTGACTGTGTTAACAGGCAGCATAAAAGACATACAGCGCACACACGCTTTGAATAACACATTTCTCAAACATACAACAAAAATTTAAAATCTTGCAATATTGTCAATAATACGGCCCTCGTGTTCTTGAGAAAGTGTGTGTGTGTGGTGTGGGGTGAGGGGGTGGGGGGGGGGGGGATCTTAATGTTTCGAATATCAAGACTACCTACCACTAGACATGAACAATGCTTGCAATCAAAGCTCAATACATCAATGGAATACAGATGGTATATGATTGATGTTGGACCAGTTTTGATGTATGGCTACTGATATGTGAATGATGACAGACAAAAATACGACAGGGACCCCCCCCACCAATATTAGGACTTGTTAGAAACTGGTGTCAGTCGAATCAACATTACAAATCTTTGATGGGTCATTCACCTTTAGCTCGGAGCTTGGTCTATGGGTCATTCACCTTTAGCTCGGAGCTTGGTCTATGGGTTGTTCACCTTTAGCTCGGAGCTTGGTCTATGGGTTGTTCACCTTTAGCTCGGAGCTTGGTCTATGGGTTGTTCACCTTTAGCTCGGAGCTTGGTCTATGGGTTGTCACCTTTAGCTCGGAGCTTGTTCACCTAATTTAGCTCCGAGCTATCAACTCTAGCATGGCCCATGGGTTGTTCACCTAGCTTAGCTCCGAGCTATCCCGTGGAGTATGGCCCTTGGGTTGTTCACCTAGCTAAGCTCCGAGCTATCCCGTGGAGTATGGCCCATGGGTTGCTCACCTAGCTAAGCTCCGAGCTATCTCATGGGTTGTTCACCTAGCTAAGCTCCGAGCTATCCCGTGGAGTATGGCCCATGGGTTGCTCACCTAGCTAAGCTCCGAGCTATCTCATGGGTTGTTCACCTAGCTAAGCTCCGAGCTATCCCGTGGCCCACGGCAATTAATAACCCAGTGGCCAGAAGTGACATGACCGACAACATTCTTTTGTTTTCTACCTCTCCCCTCCCTCCCCCACCTGTCATCCATTTTGGTTTCAGACCTGTCTTAGGGGTTGGAAAAAGTTTACGGGAGGGGGTGGGTCGGTAGTTGGGGAGTTGGGGAAGGGTCATCAGGGGTTAGAAGTGGTAAATTAATGCAGTACGTCTGCCCACTCGGCGACCCTATTTAAACCCTCGTTCTAGACCTTTAGGACAAGAATTCTTCGCTAGCCTCAAAGTATCAGGTCACAGCCCTATAGCAGTGAGTACAATACAAACTTATATACTTGTATATATATATATATATATATATATATATATATATATATATATATATATATATATATATATATATATATATATATATATATATATATATATATAAAAGCCCATATTATTAGATCGTAGTAAAGTTAATTAAAAGTAGCATTTGTTTGCTTAGTAATTACTGGCTGACCATTGTCAGTGAGGTTATCAATAGTATAGTTTATGTGTTTTCATTAAATGTGTTTACGTTTTTTACCGACACGAGAGTTATAATTAACACGAGTAAAAATATTCGACAACAGTCGACTGGTTTAAAACCAGATACTATTTATGCACAGTTAACCGTAGTTAATTGAATTCTATCTTTAACAAATTTTACCGATAAAAAAGGTCTAGCCTAAAATGAGGTTAACTAGTTCTTGGCCCGACTCCCTGTGTTTTGCCCCGTGGGGGTCAAGTGAGGTGCCAGTCTACTGGGGGTACTAGTTATTTTTATTGGTGAATTTAATTTCCGTCAGGTTGTTGTGTTTTGTGTTTTACTGGCATCAACAAGGTGATTGGCCAAAGTAGTTGCTTAAATTTTCTGAGGCTTGTATTGATTGCCACCTGCCTGCATTTTATTGTTTAGTTGGTTAAAACAGCACCGGGTTGAAATATCTGTCACAAGGTATTGTAAACCCTTGTCGATATTTAACCGTCATTTTTATTTTTTTTAAAACGAATTATGATTCTTTGAATTAAGGGATCTCATCTATCAATTTTATTTTTCTTGCTAAGTCTCCATATAACTGTTTACGATTTTTATATGAGCTCACTACATATTCAACTCAATTCGATTCAGTTAAAACGGCGATATGTGCATATGTAATGGTAAATGACGCTGGTTTTCTAAGGGTAGCAGGTTTTGTCTGTTTAAAATCAAGTTGAAGCAAATCACTTCTAATCATAATTTTATTGACTTTCCCACAGATAAAAAAGTGAAAATGTTTTCTGACATCCTGTGTCTGATGTTCCTTATCGTCATCACAATCAGCATCATCGCTGCTCAGCGTAAGTCGTCTCTAGATTTAGGTTGATTCATACAATTATATTGATACAAGCGATGAATGATATATGTATCTGTGTTTTTGTCTCTGTGTAAATGTGTGTGTCTGCGTGGTGTATGTATACGGATTACGTTGGCGTCGTTACTATGGTTCAAACTTTACGTGTATGTAAAAGGATTACGGTGGCGTCGTTACTATAGTCCAAACTTTACGAGCCCTGGATCTAGTAGAGTTTCCAGATCAGTGGCGTAGGCAGGGGGGGGGGGGGGTTAGGGTGTGTAAATCGAAAGTTTGAGGAGGGGGGGGGGGGGTGCAAATCGAAAGTTTGTCCCCGGGTAAAAATTTGACCCCCCCCCCCCCCCATGAGACGATCCTGGCAACGCTACTGTTCCAGGTTGTTGGATTCGGTGGAACATAACGGTTCATGTAATTAGGCATTAACGGTTGATGTAATGTGAACAAGGTTTCTTTCAGACTTTTTTCTCCAGGGGGGTGGGTGGGTAGGGGGGTATTTAAAACCTCTGGGGGGGGGGGCACTTAAAATCTTAGGGTGGGAGGCAGACGCAGATTAAAGTCTATATTTCCTAATTATATATTTTTTCATTTTTGTTGGTAAAGGGTTGGGGATGGGGGGGGGGGGGGGTGGACGTACTTGCGGAAAGGTGGAGGGGATCCCCGAAGAGATGCCTGAAAGGAACCCTGAATGTACACTGTACTCGTGGATCACATTGCCATTATGCTTTAAAAATTGTAGCATTGATTCAAATCATAACAGCAATTTAAAACTGTTCTCTCCTCCCCACCCCTCTACTCCAACAGCCGCAGCACCAGGAGGCGCCGCCCCTCCCGCAGAAGACCCATTCGCCTGGCTACGTCACTGGTACCTGTTCAGATGGATGGACTAACTGACGGCCGCCAACGTTACACACCCACACGAATTTGACGACAGCTGAACAAGGTGATGCGGACCTCGAGATTATTATACCACGGTGGAAGCGTCGATTCATCTTTAGTTTAATTTATTCACTTTTCACTGGCCTAGCTAATTTTTTGGTATGTCTTATCCAACATGACTTTAAAACATTCCCAAAAACTTAGGTCGACTAAAAACTTCGTAATACCGAAGTTGTTATAATCAAAGTTTATCTTTTGACCTGCAGTTATTAAAGGTTTAGACCTAGGTTAACAGAATTTTTAATTTTGATAAACAATAACTGGTAACACACCAAACGCTTTACATCATCGATTGTTGCATTGAGATCTACCATATTTATCATTGTATAAATAGTTATTATTTATTTATATCAAACTGTGAATATAATAAACAACCAATGACTCGACAGCTTTCTGTGAACTGGATATTGTAGAATAGATATTTGTACATAGTTTGACTGGATGAGTAGCTGATATTGTGTGCGTTTTTCTTCAAACCTTTTCTGATATTAAAAAGACATTAAAATATAATAAACTATTACAGAACTGAATTTGAACTTTCATATTTTGTTCAAAGTAAATAAATACAGAACACAAGTTAGATCTAGAGGTCGCCAATATGTGACAACATATTTTTTTTTTAATCATTCGTCAACAATTCCAAAGTTCAACGCTTTTCCCCAGCCCAAAACTATAATACTACTGAAAATTAACATGGTTAATTTCCAACACACCCTTTCTCCCCACACCCCTCATAATATATTCACACAATTCTCTCCCCCCCCCCCCTCCCCTCCTGCCGAGACGACCCTCTACGTATGCATATATTGAATGAAAAGTATACGTTATAGGCCCTACATGCAGGGGAGTGAAACTAATAAGTGGGTAATTTTAGACCGAACCCAAACGTATAAAGCTGCTGACCCAACCCACAAGTTTCTTCACAAGTTGGCTTATGTTGTATGTCACATGTAGAGCTACATTTTAGATATCTGTAGAGTCACCAGAGATCATATACACAGACATAGTTTAATGCCCACTTGTTTGATACGTGAGATCAATGACATCAGTAATGGCGTTATTGGCATGCTATAGAGTAAATCATGGTATAGGGACTTTAGAGGATCAATGACAACAGTAATGGCGTTATTGGCATGCTATAGAGTAAATCATGCTATAGGGACTTTAGAGGATCAATGAAATCAGCAAATCATGGTATAGGGACATAGAGTAGAGTATCAATGACATCAGCAAATCATGGTATGGACGCTCCCGTACAGAGGGTGATACGGTTTTACCAAACCAAGTAGTTTTTCTATACCACCCCGATTATAATAAACATTATAAAAGATGTAAAGTCTATGAACATGCTGCCTAGAAGTAAAGAACAGCTGATATTTTAGAACCACCCCCTGTTTGTCAAATAACAACATGAAGCACGTACCTTACTGAGCGTACAGTTTTTTATTACTTGGTGAGTTCTTGTCGTGTTAGGAGACGAGGTACCATCTTTAATGTACACACATGACTGATTTGTCAACCCCGGGGTTAGAGAATGTTCTTTTATGAAAGCTGATTTTAAGGTTTTAATTAAATTATTTCATAAGAAATATCAGAACATTTTGAGAAAAAAAAATGTTTTTTTCTCCCTTATTTCTAGCCGTATTTTCTGAAATGTAAAAAACAAGTTTCTATTGAATTTACACTTTCTTAAAGTGGACTAGGTTCATGTAGACTCTGTAAAGAAAACACTGTTAAATATGGGACTGTATTAGGGCTTGTAAGTCGACGGTCTCAAAATCTACTAGCTGCATAGTACGAAAACGAGAAGTTGTGACCTACTTACAAGCCCTATAGTAAGCAAGGTAGAACTGATAGTGGCTAATTAAGGGCGGTTGTTGTTTTAAAAATCTCAACTCATAATCTATTCTTCAATCATTCTTCACTGTTCCTAATCAAGACTTTTATTAATCAATCATTCTTATTTCCTAAAAAGATGGAAAGTATTTATATTTTTTTTTTTGTATTTATTCAAAAAAGCTGGCTCTATTAAGTCATCAGATCTTAATTCACAATTAAATCTAAGGTATTTTAATAATTGTAAACTATAAAATTAAAATTTTAAAAGCCTACTAATACAAGAATAATACTCATCTTATGATCCCTTTATATATATATATATATATATATATATATATATATATATATATATATATATATATATATATATATATATATATATATATATATATATATATATATATATATATATATATAAAAAGAAATGAAATCAGAGCATACTTTTGTCCCTGTAAAATACTGGCTCTTCTTGAAAAAAATCCAGAACAATTTACTACCTCATTTTAGATTTTAAAAAAGAAATAATTCAACACACAAGATTTAGGAAATTGTAGGGGGAAAGAGAATTAAAAACACACCAGACAACCTAATACATGGCATCTTATGTCTCTAACTTAAACGTTTTCGTCCCGTGCAGCAGTTTGTACCATAGTTTCTTCCAGACTTTTCTCTCTAAAGGGGGGTGGAGGGGTGAAAAAATTTCCCGGGGAGACGGTGGACACTGTCAAAAGTATATGTTTTCTATATAAATTCCATTTCGTTCGGGGATGCCTAGAACAGGATGCGGCTCTCCAGCTCCTTGCACAAATACTAATAATCTTAATCAAAAAATAAAATATTTGAAATGAAAAAATGTTAGTGGCTCTTTAAAACCAGGGAAATTTTGAAAATTGTAACTTTTGGCTCTTCCGCTTCAAAAGGTTGCCGACCCCTGGCCTAGAAGAAACTCTGGATAGTACTGCGACATTTCTTGCTACATCGTGCCCGACCATCTGGACATGTAACAAATGCTCAATTTAAAATCTATAATAATAGTTTCGCTGTCTCTCTATCTATCTATCTGTCTGACAAGAACGCTCTAGAGAAAACACAAGGAATTTAAAAACCTGCACAGTAATTCGAAAAACGAAATATGACGTCGACACATTTAGCGTAGAGTAGAACATAATCTCAAACCAGAGAGTGCACACAGTAATGTAATGACGTCATTGAAACATTGAAAAAAAGGAAATGTTGTCTAATCTAAATGGTTTGCGTGAAGAGTTTCTTGCATACAATTCTTCGGGTAGGGGCGAAGCCCCACCCCCGCGTAAGAACGTCTGAGGGGGGTGGGGGTGGGGGTGGGGGGGGGTTGAGTGGGGGGGGGGGGTGGTTTTAATTTAGACTTTTTCCTCCCCGGAGAGGGGTGGGGGTACTTGAAATTTTCGGGGGCGGGGGTAGAATTTTCGGGGAGGGGCGGACACTGGAAAAAGTATATAATTATATTTCGTTGAATGGGACGGTAGACATGTTTTTTTAGGGGGGGGGGGGGGGGTTGTGTGTGGGGGGGGGATGGGGGGTGAGTGGGGGGGGGGGGTGGTTTTAATTTAGACTTTTTCCTCCCCGGAGAGGGGTGGGGGTACTTGAAATTTTCGGGGGCGGGGGTAGAATTTTCGGGGAGGGGGCGGACACTGGAAAAAGTATATAATTATATTTTGTTGAATGGGACGGTAGACATGCTTTTTTGGGGGGGGGGGGGGGGGGGTGGGGGGTGGGGGGGGTGGTGGTGTGTGTGTGGGGGGGGGGTGGGGGTGAGTGGGGGGGTGGTTTTAATTTAGACTTTTTCCTCCCCGGAGAGGGGTGAGGGTACTTGAAATTTTCGGGGGCGGGTGTAGAATTTTCGGGGAGGGGGCGGACACTGGAAAAAGTATATAATTATATTTCGTTGAATGGGACGGTAGACATGTTTTTTTTTTGGGGGGGGGGGGGTGGGGGGTGGTGTGTGTGGGGGGTGGTGTGTGTAGGGGTGGGGGTGGGGGGTGGTGTGTGGTTGGGGTTGGGGTGGTGTGGGTGGGGGTGGTGTGTGTGGGGGGGTGGTTTTTGTTTAGAGAAAAGAGACAGCACTATCAACCTAGCGCCCGGTGTATCCTTCCTCAACGGGCCATTTTTCTCGTTATAAATATTGGTGGTGTGATTTAGGGAATTTGTCTTAAATATATAATTAGCCACTTTAAATGGACGAAAGTAAATTTAAAGTGGTTTAGCAATGGCACTATGCAATGTATATAATCTATAAAATCACATCATATAAAACCTCTTAACTCTCCCAGACTTATGGAAAATAATATTTATTTTGAGTTATCTACCCTAGAGCATGTTTTGGAACCACATAATTTCCCTTTATAAAAAAAAATAACTTAGTTGCAACAGTTCTTATTTTTGTACGCCTCAATTAGTACCAGTTCTAACAATTTGTGACATTTATCTAACCGTAAGCTGATAATTAAATACAATAAAATAAAGCAAAACGCCACGATAATCTGTATAGTCCTACATGCCCCGAGTTGATTACTTTGTAAAGAGGGCAGTTCTCCTGAGTGCTTTCATGAGAACAGATTTGCTTGTTCTCAACTTACGATATTGATTAGTTAGAGTGAATACAATCAGGAAACATAAGGCAATCTAAATAATATAAGAAATAATTATAGTTTATATTAATGATGGTTTTTTTTTTCGAATACATTGATAACAATATTTTTATCTATATATTAATGATGTATCACCTTGATTTACCTCTATTTACTGTTGAATTAAGGAACTTTCTCTTTAAGCTTCGTTCTCTTTTTTTAAGCTCTTATCACATAATTCTTTCATCACATATTTTAATAGCCACTTCCAGAGCTATTTGCTTAAAAAGCTTCTCATTAGATCATCTTTACGGGATGGTGTGGTCAAGTGAATAGACACATGGCTGCTAACCTGTAAGGCTCAAGTTTGATTCCCTGCCCAAATAAACAGTATGTCCAACCTATGCATACCTGACTTGTGTCGTGGATTGTAAAGGCTTCTTGGCCTTTTACTAGAAACATAATCCTCGTCTGACATAGTATTAGGCCTAGATAGGATTGATATAGTAGAGTGAATCTGTTACTGTCAGAGGCGTAGCGACCCTTCCCGGCGCCCGGGGACAAACTTTTCGATTTGCACCCCCCCCCCCCTCAAACTTTTGATTTACACCACCCTCAACCTTTCAATTTCTCTTTCCAACCCCTTTTGGCGCCCCCTAAGGTCGGCGCCCGGGGACATATGTCCCCCCCCCCGCCCCCCCCCCCTCGCTACGCTACTGGTTACTGTGGCCTCTTCATATGCAGGGATAATGTGGTTAGACTTGCTGATGTTGCACTGAGTTTTACAACTACACAATTTGTTTGTTGAATATGAGAGACCCATTGTAAGGCCTCATCTAGCGGCACAAGGTTGCATTGCTCCATAATGTTGATGGTAAGTGCATTAGGAGTTATCAACATTTACACCTGGCCGTTCCAAACACTTATAGACGTCTTGACGTGTGTTAAGGACACTTGTCCATGTCTTAGTGACATCATGTGACATAGTTTCTTAATTCATGTCTATCCTAGGTGTTCAATATTTATTGAAAATAAATTAACAAAGATACTATACTATTTATTTGCAATATTTCTTTACTTTACAACTTTAACAAAAGGAAGTATATGATAACAACCGCTGATGTCATATTAAATGACCTTGTAGCATCAGGAAAAGTAATGTTGACCACGGCTCTGACGGTCATCCAAGTGGTGGTGGTGTCCTGATGAGTGGTGGTGGTGTTTTAATGGTCACGACTGTGGTTGTGCTTGTGGTTGGTAGAGGCGGGGGTGTCCTCAATGTGACTGGTACCTTCAACGATGTCGAGGCTGTTGTCGTACTTGTTCTAGAAATGGTTGTTGAAGATATTGTGGTTGTCAGTGGAGCAGCTGTTGTTGTGGTTGTCAGTGGAGCAGCTGTTGTGGTTGATATTGTACTAGCTGTTGTTAGAGGCTGCCGGGTTGTCACTACCATCGACTGTGTGGTTGGTGTAGTACCAGCTGTGATGAGTACAGGCTTATAGCTGGTTGCTGAAGTTGTTCCTTGTGTCCCTTATTAAATACAAAAATAATTATCAGCTCACATGCATAGATTCACAGCGTTATCATTGTGTACGCCTCTCTATACAGAAACATATACAGTGGTTCAGTTTAGAACGAACACCATTTGTTTATGTGACCCATTCGTTCTGAAACACAGATCTCCACAAATAAACAGGCATGGTCTGTGAGCAGTCAATAATAGAACCGCGAAAAGAGAAAGCAAGGTTAGGTTTGGGAAAAACAAGTATCAAACCAGCCACGCACGTGTGTGTGTGTGTGTGTGCGTGTGCGTGCGTGCGTGTGTACGTGTGCGTGTGTACGTGTGTGTGTGTGTAACACCAATACATATATTACCACAAAATCCACAAAAGCGTTTGCAGTTTGTCTCCGCCCATCTCCTATACATGACGTTAATGCACGTGTCCGCTTGGTAGGTGCTGCAGTCAGACAAGACGTCAATGCACGGCGACGGTGATGTGCTGGTTGTCAGTGGTGCATCTAGATGACATAAGTCTAGTATTAATCGGCATACATTCACATTTAAAGGCCTATTTCTATTGCCTCTTTTATTCACTTACGCGGTCAAACAGTCAGTATTATAGGGCCGATAACAGGTAACTACAATCACTACCGATAGACACCATAATAGCTCAAGATCGACATTTTCATAAAGAAATCATAAAGAAACAAGCAAAGAAATCAATTCCACATAAATACCGTGACAAAATCCACAGAACACCGGACAATTTTCAGCTCCCCAGTGCCCGAACTTGTCAACAGAACAGGCATCGACACCGTAAGCTGCACAGTCGGTCTTATCCTGACAATCTGAGGCGAGACATTAACAAATCTGATTCTTTCATTGGCTCGTTTGGTTAGTGAGGTTAAGCTGAGACCTTCACTATCTGCTACTTGTGTTAGTGTAACATGATTGGTAGAGATGTTTAGTTAGTTGATGCTGCATTGGATGTTCTAATGTTAGTGGTGTACCATAATTGGTAGAAATATGAAGCTGCCAGTGCGCCCCTCCCGGAACGATACCAAAAACGAACCACTGTCAATGCCATTCAGTGGCGTCATCAGGCGAGTTTTATACTTAACACATATACAACTTGACTGATGTAGACTTTATAACTCACCAATTGCAGGCATTGTAGGAGTTTCTTCTGATAGCTTGGCAAGTTGTTCGTCTAGAAAAAAATTGAGTTGGTTTAAATTTTATCAATGTTTGTATTGTTTTTGACCACATCATGCAACATACTTTGACGTAATAATATTAAAAAATTGTGAAATTCTGACAAAAAATACTGGACCAAAATATGAAAATAAAACATAAAAATTAAGATTTGGTACTCTATAATGTATGATTGAATCGTAGACATAGCTGTTATATCGTGAAGCATACAGACTAATTGTTAAAAGCTGTAGCTTATTATTACGTTGAGGTGAGATTTTAACTTCTGTTTTACAATTTTAGTTGAATTTAATTTCCGATAGTTAAAAATACTTGAATTGGGACACGAGTTTTATGGTTGTAGTGTGGGTGGTGTTGGGTGCGGTTTGGCTATACATACTACACAACTAATTGGAGGAGAATCTGTCATAATATACGTCATCCATTTTCCGCCGAATACATTCGCTTTTAAGAAGTATTTTTTTCCGGTAGTAAAAATCTTTTTGATATTCATTTGTCTAAAACATCCATTCCCACAAACCTGTGCAGAATCTACAGTAGAGCCTGCAGTTATTCAGAGCCCAGTTGCGGTATTCTGTCCTGATGCAGATGTCGCCATCATAGGTGTCACAGTTGGGGATCTGGTCTAGGCAGGAGGCAGGTGCTGTAGGTGGGGCTGTAATGGATCACATTCGTGTTGTTTACTTTCTCTGGTACATAATTTTTGTTACATTTGTGTTGTTAACTTTCTGTGGTACATAATTTTTGTTACATTCGTCATGTTTATTTTCTGTGGTACATAATTTTTGTCACATTTGTGTTGTTTACTTTATGTGGTACATAATTTTTGTCACATTCGTGTTGTTTACTTTCTGTAGTACATAATTTTTGTTACATTCGTGTTGTTTACTTTCTGTAGTACATAATTCTTTGTCGTGGTGAATAAGGGTTTTTAATCGCCCATCACCCAAATATGTTTGTTATCTTGAAAGGTCAAGTTGATGTGAAGATTATGTGAATACGGTGTGAAGATGATATAACAAGCAAATATGAAGATGATATGAAGATTTTATGGAGGCGATTTGAAGATAATGTGAAGGCAATATGAAGATGATGTGAAAGCAACATGAAGGTAATGTAAAGGCGATTTGAAGATGTTGTGAAGTCGATATATGTATGATATGAAGGTGATATAAATATGATGTGAAGGCTATATGAAGATTATGTGACGATAATGTGATGGTAACATGAAAGTGATATGATGGTGATATAATGATGTTATGAAGGTGATGTTATTTTGATATGATGTGATTGTTATGTGATGGTGATATTAAGGTGATGTGATGGTGATATGAAGGTGATGTGATGGTGATGTGATGATGTTATGAAGGTGATGTTATGGTGATATGATGGTGATGTGATGGTGAAGTGAAGGTGATATGATGGTGATATGAAGGTGATATGAAGGTGATGTGATGGTGATATAAAAGTGATGTGATGGTGATATGGAGGTGATATGAAGTGACAAATGTGACGCCCTGCTACTTAACGAGTGCAGAATCCACACGTAGCTTGACAGTTTTGTCTAGCCCATGATGTGTAGATCCCCGTACAGGCGTCAGATGTATAGCTCTGGCAGTTGTCCAGAGTATCCTTGCAAACTGGCAAAGATTTTATACAAGTAGATCAATATAGATGTATATATATATATCTATCTATCTATATATATATATATATATATATATATATATATATATATATATATATAAAATTTATTTATAAATAATATATATATATATATATATATATATATATATATATATATATATATATATATATATATATATATATATATATATATATATAAGTATGAAATCTGTTGTAACTTGATCATTAATACTTATAATGATGATTTCCGTTTAACCATAATAATCCTTTCTACTGCTCATTATAATATTGAACATTTTCTTTGAAAATATCTTAGCATATAACAAATAGAAAGTTAACCCTTTATTAAGGCATTGTTAAGTTTGATTTAAGAAGAAAATAACTTTGGAAACTTTTCAGTGGGCTTTGGCCAATATGTCTTTAGACCTTTTACATATTTGAAAACAATATGTAAAAATACAGTTCAGCTTTTCGGCTGTGTTCTACGGTGATCTCATAGTCATAGTCTTAGTCCTTGGAGACTGCCATCAAACTTTCATGCAACAATCATTGTTTGGATTCTTAGAAATGTCCACTGTGTGATTTTTGCTAGTTTTACTTAAAATTGCAGAATGTATTATGTAAAACTTACAATATCAAATGTTTTTATTATAGGAAACTTACCTACATCCTTACTCGTCGTAAGCTCTACACCAGATACTAAAGCTCGGATAAGCTGTATACAAAATATGCAAGAATAAATCGACATTTTTAGGTTGAGAATGTCCATGTTAAAATCTTGTCTACAGATACACCGATTGCGTGACACAAGTAAATCTAGGTTAGCCAACCTTATCTATTAAAAAGTTGACATTCTTCTCGATGTATTTATTTATATGTCGGCCTGACCAGTTTAATCTATCGCTCTCTACGTTCAGCACTGGCTAATACATGTTGCAAGAATATACAATGCTATTATGGACTTAAAGGAATTATCCCCTAATAACTGGAATTTTAGATCCCCGTCCAACTTGACCACTTTGGACACCCCCCCCCCCATTCCCACATTTTCTTACCCATTCTGACGTCCGGTCATATACATGTAATATACTTCAAATATACTTCAAATATACTTCAAATACACTTCAAAATATTAATTCAACGTAAAAATACTCATGTATGTGCAGATCACATATGATTTGTTTTATTTTAATTGTTTTCCAATGCAACCAAAAACGGATGCAAGTCATTACATAATATGTCCTTTACTCTTACCGTGAAAATAACGGCTTTTTAAGACTTTTATTAAGTTCTCCATAGGTTGTGTTTGTTTGTTTGTTTGTGGGATGTGACAAATCTTGTATTCTAATTTTGGCCCATTTCTGAAGCAGACATTTCGTTTTTACTTACCAGATTTATTCGTCTCCAATGACAATATAAGAATATCTATTTTATTTTATTTCTTATATAAGTCATGAAAATGTAATTTAAATATCTAAATTCAATAATAAAAGAGGAGATAAGATTACATATTGTTATCTGTCAACATTGTGCTGGTGCTACATGTCAACATTGTGCTGGTGCTACATGTCAATATTGTGCTGGTGCTACATGTCAACATTGTGCTGGTGCTACATGTCAACATTGTGCTGGTGCTACATGTCAACATTGTGCTGGTGCTACATGTCAACATTGTGCTGGTGCTACATGTCAACATTGTGCTGGTGCTACATGTCAACATTGTGCTGGTGCTACATGTCAATATTGTGCTGGTGCTACATGTCAACATTGTGCTGGTGCTACATGTCAACATTGTGCTGGTGCTACATGTCAACATTGTGCTGGTGCTACATGTCAACATTGTGCTGGTGCTACATGTCAACATTGTGCTGGTGCTACATGTCAACATTGTGCTGGTGCTACATGTCAACATTGTGCTGGTGCTACATGTCAACATTGTGCTGGTACTACATGTCAACATTGTGCTGGTACTACATGTCAACATTGTGCTGGTGCTACATGTCAATATTGTGCTGGTGCTACATGTCAATATTGTGCTGGTGCTACATGTCAATATTGTGCTGGTGCTACATGTCAACATTGTGCTGGTGCTACATGTCAACATTGAGCTGGTGCTACATGTCAACATTGTGCTGGTGCTACATGTCAATATTGTGCTGGTGCTACATGTCAATATTGTGCTGGTGCTACATGTCAACATTGTGCTGGTGCTACATGTCAACATTGTGCTGGTGCTACATGTCAACATTGTGCTGGTGCTACATGTCAACATTGTGCTGGTGCTACATGTCAACATTGTGCTGGTGCTACATGTCAACATTGTGCTGGTGCTACATGTCAACATTGTGCTGGTGCTACATGTCAACATTGTGCTGGTGCTACATGTCAACATTGTGCTGGTGCTACATGTCAACATTGTGCTGGTGCTACATGTCAACATTGTGCTGGTGCTACATGTCAACATTGTGCTGGTGCTACATGTCAAAATTGTGCTGGTGCTACATGTCAACATTGTGCTGGTGCTACATGTCAAAATTGTGCTGGTGCTACATGTCAACATTGTGCCGGTGCTACATGTCAACTTGTGCATGTGCTACATCTTATATCAGGAACAAAAACAAAGCAACCTTTTTTCTCGACAGTTTTATCGCTATTTCCATTTTTATATTTCAGAAAATAGAAACTTTATGACGCCAAGAATATCTCATGATGTCATGTAGCTCTAGCTTTTGACCTGTGTAAAAAAGCGGTGTTCGTTGTTTGATCTAATGTATAAAGGTTGTCAATCAAATGTCACGTGATAGTCATGTTTATGAACAACCGTTCAAGTGAGAACAATTATTGCTTTAATAGCCCTGGAAAGACACTTCTGTTTTTTTTAAAAATATTCTCAGGTAAGTTTGTAGATGCAAATGTAAAGGTTATAAATATATAGGCCTATATATATATATATATATATATATATATATATATATATATATATATATATATATATATATATATATATATATATATTGCTGAATAAAGCTACTATAATTACTAAGTTAAGAAATGTTACTATTAACTAATCACTATTAACTAATGAAACTTAATATGTTTTGTCGCATTAAGCGATTCTGCTTTTACTTTAATTATTTTCTAAATTTCACAAGGGCATTCCAGTTTGCATAAATAATCGCTTACGCCAGTTTTATTCTAACACTTTGTGATTTATTTGAAGTTATGTTTAGACAGTGAATATTCCTGTTTAAAACAGACAGCTGTATTAAAGTATCAGTTGACGACTGACTTTAACCTTGCTGCATGCGAGTATTGCAGTTTCTTGTGTCACGGATCTAGGTGAATTCTACCTGAGGGTGTTAGGTCGGTTTTATTGTATTGCACCTTAACACATAAAGAAGTATGGACTTTTAAATTTAAAAAAGTTTCTCCAGATTTGTAAGAATTTAGGATCCTGCCATTTTCTTTCCATTCATGTCCGAAAGGTTTTCACCCCAGCCTAGATAAAAGGGACATGCCACACACTTCGTGGCTCCATTAACACCAGAGATTAGCCTGGTACGTCTTCCTCATTCTTGGGGCTGTATTTTACCATATGATTGTTAGCTTCACTTTTCTATGGTTGGTATTGGAAGTAATCATAAATTGATTTAATTATGCTTAGTTTAATGTTAATAATGAGGTTAAAGAAAATGGTCAGACTAAGGATAAATGTTCTGTACATGAATAACATGTAGATGAAATATTTGCATCTGTGTGAGTGTCAAAACGTGCATATATATATATATATATATATATATATATATATATATATATATATATATATATATATATATATATATATATATATGTATGTATGTATATATATATATATATATATATATATATATATATATATATATATATATATATATATATATATATATATATACATACACCCACACCTATATCAAGCCGTTCCCCAGACCAGACCCCATTTATCTCGCTTATGTTACCAGGGCTAGTTCTTTATAGCCTGAGTTAAAAAAAAATCTGTTGGCCACGAACAAGCCAAGATTAGAATAAAGCATTAACTGTCTCTTTTTCTCTCTTCACAAGTCAGCCACACATAGGAGGACACATAGGGGCTTGGTGAATAAGGGCGTAACGCAAGCGTTAGGCGCAGTATAGAGGCTTAGTGAGCATGGGCGTAACGCAAGCGTAAGGCGCAGTGTTCGGCCTACTCCACCGTACATCTAGAGAAAGTAGTTCCGCCTCTGATAATGTACGTGGAGCAGTTTGCTATATCCCTACTCCACTGTACAACTAGAGAAACTAGTTCCGCCTCTGATAATGTACGTGGAGCAGTTTATCCCTACTCTACTGTACATCTAGAGAAAGTAGCTCCGCCTCTGATAATGTACGTGGAGCAGTTTGCTATATCCCTACTCCACTGTACAACTAGAGAAACTAGTTCCGCCTCTGATAATGTACGTGGAGCAGTTTATCCCTACTCTACTGTACATCTAGAGAAAGTAGCTCCGCCTCTGATAATGTACGTGGAGCAGTTTGCTATATCCCTACTCCACTGTACAACTAGAGAAACTAGTTCCGCCTCTGATAATGTACGTGGAGCAGTTTATCCCTACTCTACTGTACATCTAGAGAAAGTAGTTTCGCCTCTGATAATGTACGTGGAGCAGTTTATCCCTACTCCACTGTACAACTAGAGAAAGTAGTTCCGCCTCTGATAATGTGTGTTGAGCAGTGTGAAGTATCCTTACTTTACTGTACATCTAGAGAAAGTAGTTCCACCTCTGATAATATGCCAAGAACTGTTTGTCTGCGTATCTCTACTCCAATGTAGAGAAAGCAGTTCCGCCTGTACTAATACATGTGTTGGAGCTTGGCTGTATCCCTACTCCAAGGTTCATCTAGAGAAACTAGTTCCGCCTCTGCTAACGTTATGAATGTGCTGTGAAGTGAGGACAGCTAGGATAAGACGTGGTGTTCGCATCGGTTCAACCGTGTCACTATAAAACTACAGCGGAAATTTAACTGAATTTTTAACATCCGGTGTTTTACGCGTCACATACTGAGTCCCACACGGATAGAATAAAGCACACAAAAACCAATATCAGCACTGTTGTTATCGACTGGCCTGGATTTGTGTTTGACTTGTGCGTGCTGTTATTTCTGATGTGATTTAATTTTATTTCTTGCCCAGGTCAGACTGACCGGAAGTACGTCAGTGAGTAGCCATGACAACGGCCATGCAGGGGATGTTTCGCTGTCTTTTGACCTCAGCCCTGGTGGCGCTGTCCTGTTCGCCCCCACCCCCACAGGGTAGGTCCTCGTCTCTTCTTGCTGTATCTTAGGTGGTTGTTCATGTGTGGTAGAACTTGTGGTTGTTCACGTGTGGTAGAACTTGTGATTGTTCACATGTGGTAGAACTTGTGGCTGTTTACGTGTGGTAGAACTTGTGGTTGTTCACGTGTGGTAGAACTTGTGGTTGTTCACATGATGTAGAACTTGTGGTTGTTCACGTGTGGTAGAACTTGTGGTTGTTCACGTGTGGTAGAACTTGTGGTTGTTCACGTGTGGTAGAACTTGTGGCTGTTTACGTGTGGTAGAACTTGTGGTTGTTCACGTGTGGTAGAACTTGTGGTTGTTCACATGATGTAGAACTTGTGGTTGTTCACGTGTGGTAGAACTTGTGGTTGTTCACGTGTGGTAGAACTTGTGGTTGTTCACATGATGTAGAACTTGTGGTTGTTCACGTGTGGTAGAACTTGTGGTTGTTCTCGTGTGGTAGAACTTTATTGTCGTGATTGTAGACGTTCGGTAAAATGAGTGAATGTTGATGTCTGGTGGAACTTAAGTTTCTTTTATCGAAGATACAAACTATAAATATCTTACACATTTCAAAGTGTAAATTAAATCCACTAGCACTGGATAGGCTCGACCTTCTAGAGGATCCAAATACGAATAATAGGGCCAAGATAAATCCAATCATAAGGCTATTTTAAAATGTATTTTAGTATTAACTATTATCGTATAACTTTTCAGTGATCATAACGTATTCTACAATGTCTGTAGAACGTTCTTATAATTGTGTATAGTCAATTGTTCAGAGCTATAATCTCGTAACTCAGACAAGTAGAGTTTACAAATGGGAGTGCGATGATTAAATGGACGGGCCTCAAATGTGCAAAGATTTAATTACTGGCTATAGAGGCGCAACGATTAAATGGACGGGCGACAGATGTGCAATGATTTAATGGACCGCCACAAAAGTGCAATGATTTAATGGATGGCCACATAGATGCAATGATTTAATGGACCGTCATAAAGGTGCAATAATTAAATGGACGGCCACATAGGTGCAATAATTAAATGGACGGCCACATAGGTGCAATGATTTAATGGACAACCACAGAGGTGCAATGATTTAATGTACAGCCACAGAGGTGCAATGATTTAATGGACAGCCACAGAGGTGCAATGATTACATTGAAGTCCCGATGTTGAGAACCCGTACAGAAGACTAGTTAAAGTGAACAGCATTAGACTGGTGCAAATACAGAGCGCGGTAAATCAAGTGACGACATTAAGTCACGTCATTACGGAATGTCACAGAGCGTGTCATACCTGGGGAGGGGGAGGGGGAGGGGGGCTGGCGAGACACCTTTAGTCAGGCAGTACTTGATCCAGATCTAGAGGTCGTTGACCCAGAATTCAAGCAAAGTTGAACTAGACAGTTATACTGCCATGTATAGTGTTTGTCTAAAATAAATAAACAAATCTGCACCAAGGGCATAGGTCAGTGCACTCAGTGTCTGGCGTATAGACAGAGAACTGAGAACGTTCAGCTAGGCGCCATTTGGTTCTGTACATCAGCAACCATCCTATCTTAACAGAAGAACTAGTAGGCTATATAACGACATGGCGTCAACTACCGACACAAACTAGAATCTGATGTAACGAAAACTGACAGTCTGGAACTACTGATGGTCGGAACAAAGAAAGAATTGATGTTAAACAAAGTACCAAACTTTAGCTTCTGCTTTTACCGTTAAAACATTGACTTGTCTTGGATGGTAGAGCTTAGGGCTTCTAGCCCGAAGGAACGAGTTTGGATCCCCGGTCGTTAGTCATCCAACGCTACACCCAGACTTATGGGTACCTGATTCACGTTAGGGAAACAAGGGCGTCTGGGCAGAGTACTGACCCAACTATCACCCTGTATGCCGAGGTTATTTAAACATATGATCTCTATTTCATCTGCCCCATAAGTCTTGAGCACTAACGGGAAAAGATGGTGATACACAAATAAAATTGTAACAAAATACCCTGACATTACTTTTACAGACGCTACACTTCAGTCACACACAAGGATAGAGCTAGAGCGCTATTTTAAACCATCCAACATCAATCACCAAAAGTCATCTTCTCTGGATATGACTTCAGTTTGAAGACATCAACACGACTTAAGGGCTGGTCACTGATCTTCATTGACAGCTGTCAATCTTTCGTGTCAGAGACAACAAAGTGTGGGCCAGCTCTGTTCTCTTGCAGAATCATTAGCTTCATCATTCTCTCCGTACACTCCATTATTCTTTTATTTTAAAATGTTCCATTTCTCTAAATACAAATTCATCTATTGTTGCAAGTCTTGTCCATTTATCTTGGTGCACGGTGCACATACAAGCATGCGAAAATTCTACGCCACACAATTGTAGTGTCAGTAGTAGGCCTACAATTCTCAAAACAATTGTAGTGTCTGTAGTAGGCCTACAATTCTCAAAACAATTGTAGTGTGTGTAGGGGCTGGGGTGGGGGGTTATAACATGGACTTTTAAAACAAAAGATGTCCCCACGGTATATTAGAGCCACTGGCGACTGTGCATGCATGTCGTTTTGAGATTCACAAAACCACAATTTTACGCTTTAAATATTGTTTTGAAATATTGAAATACAAGCCCACATCGAAATCCTGACTAGGATGCAACACATTGCGCCTTACAGTAACATACCAGAGCAGCTATATTGTGACGTGTGGCCCATTATTTAATGTCTCGGCCAGGAGGTTACAGAGACATTAATTATCTGCCCGTTTAGCTAATTTGTACCCAACCGCTGTCCCTATTAACTCCCATATTATCTCAGTTATTTCCCTTGAGAAAGAATTACCGCGAGATGTGCCTGTAAAATGAGTACAAGTTTTCTTATTATATCATGTTTTGTGCTGGTAAAATCAAGAAGTTAAAAATCTTTAATAATTGATGTTTTGGTCGAGACTCTAATATAAATTGACCTGAGGGTTGTACAACGTCACGGTACACTTAGCTCATTGTCGACCCAATCCCAACCTGTCACACATTGTCACACAAAACTTTTTATAGATCCGCCATCTGCCAAACAATGTCACAAAAACAGATAATATTCGCCGTCTATACAATGCTCTACATCAGGGGTCTCCAAACTACGGCCCGCAGGCCGGATGCGGCCCTCGAAGTCCTCTCATCCGGCCCGCGGAGATCTTTTTGTCCAAGGAAAAATCGTTTGTTGGTGATAGCTGAGGAACTCTGCCCAGAAAAAACAAAGACATGCCTGGAAGAAACTGGCCCTCGAACTGAAATTTGATAGTTAATGCGGCCCTCGGACTGAAAAGTTTGGAGACCCCTGCTCTACATGATTCTTGTATTTCGAGAATCTAACAAATCCACCCTAAGACTGTACGCGATCAATGACTGCACGCGAAAATCAGCTGTTCATTTGTTGTTATGTAAGATGCGTGTGTATGTTGTAGATGTGTTTTTAATGCTTGCTTGTGTTGCTTCTCTGTTCAATGAAATAATTAAATAACTGTGTATAACGTCATTGACTGTTTATCTCTCTATACAAACACTCATCTGATACTTTTTGCAGGCTCATTTTTTTCACCGCCACCTGACCCCTTTGGACCACCCCCCGCTTACCCACCCCCACAGCCACAGGCGTATGCACCTATCCCACCCCTTGGATACGCCCTTCCACCGCCTCAAGGCTACGCCCCTCAACCTAATACATATAACCCACAGTATTACCCCCCTCCCCCCTCTCCTGGCTTCAGCCTGACCCAGCTCAGCTACCAGCCCCAGCCCATGAACAGCAGACCCCTACCCCCACTACCCCCTATTGCCCCCCCTCGAGACGCAGCGCCCGCGGGGTCATCAGGCTACGCCACAGGACCGGTCGAGCAGGAGTTCGAAGGTGACCCCTATGCTACAGGGGGTGGGGCACCCGCCAGTCATTCTCAGAGTGAGTACATTCGGTGCAGCTGCTCATTTCACCGTTCTACACACATCAACATGCACACATCAACATGCACACAACATAATTACTAAAGTACTGCACACATCAACACAATTACTCATGTACATCAACATGTACTACACACATCAACATAGTTACTCATGTACTACACACATCAACATAGTTAACCATGTACTACACACATCATAGTTACTCATATATTACACACATCAACATAATTACTCATGTACTACACACAACATAGGTACTCATGTACTACACACAACATAGGTACTCATGTGCTACACACATCAACATAGTTACTCATGTACTACACACAACATAGTTACTCATGTACTACACACAACATAGTTACTCATGTACTACACACAACATAGTTACTCATGTACTACACACAACGTAGTTACTCATGTACTACACACAACATAGTTACTCATGTACTACACACAACATAGTTACTCATGTACTACACACAACGTAGTTACTCATGTACTACACACATCAACATAGTTACTCATGTACTACACACAACATAGTTACTCATGTACTACACACAACATAGTTACTCATGTACTAAACACATCAACATAGTTACTCATGTACTACACACATCAACATAGTTACTCATGTACTACACACATCAACATAGTTACTCATGTACTAAACACATCAACATAATTACTCATGTACTACACACATCAACATAGCTACTCATGTACTACACACATCAACATAGTTACTCAAGTACTACACACATCAACATAGCTACTCATGTACTACACACATCAACATAGCTACTCATGTACTAAACACATCAACATAATTACTCATGTACTACATACAACATAGGTACTCATGTACTAAACACATCAACATAATTACTCACGTGCTAAACACATCAACATAATTACTCATGTACTAAACACATCAACATAATTACTCATGTACTAAACACATCAACATAATTACTCATGTACTACATACAACATAGTTACTCGTGTACTAAACACATCAACATAGTTGCCCATATACCCATATCCCTACCGTCAAAGATCTACGCGATAAACGGGTAACGAATATGGTGTGGATTCATGTCGAGCGGTTGTTCAATAAAATTAGGCTTATGAAGTTAAGAGAGTAATTGAGGTTCTCGATCTGCAATGAGGTGTGTGAAGTTCAGACTAAATTAGGTTCTCGATCTGCTAGAGACACGTCGCGAGAAGCCACTCAAATAACTTAGGCTGCCAAAACTATTCCCTCTGTATTCTTCTAATCCACCCTTTCTTGATGCCAAAATGTATTCCACACTTGGTGTGGACAACCTCCCCCCCCCCCCCCCCCGCCATAAAGCTGGATGTTAAACCATAAAACCCCTGACTAACCTTCGTTAATAAATGTATAAGGTTAAGAGAAAAATGTTAATAGAAAAACAACAAACCATAACTTCTTGGGTTACCTCCCCTGGTTATATTCACCATTTAATTGGCTCGTTCATTGGTGGAATCCACACGTTTAAACAAATGTACCCACCCCCCTTTCTGTCCACATGCGTAAATGTACCCCCCCCCCCACACACACACACTACTCCCCTTGGTGTGGGTCCTATAAGGTTAGTCCTCGCAAAACCTGCGTCCAATACACTATTTCAATAGTATGTGTATGTATAGCATGCGTTTAATAATACATAGATCTATAATGATTTATTCAAAAATAGTGTCATTATGTATTAATACGATTAACAGTATTTAAAATGTATTGACACATATTTATAAAATGTTTTAAAACTATAAATATATATTGATCTCAGAGGCGTATCCAGGTTTTCGAAAAGAACAAAAAAGGCGCCGAATTTTTAACACGTTCTATATACGTATATATATATATATATATATATATATATATATATATATATATATATATATATATATATATATATATATATATATATATGTCATTAATTCGCTATGATGTAAAATAAATTGAAAGTAGCACTCTGAAGAAATAAGAAAAAACACACAATGTTGGCCGACAAAACAAAAATTGTATCAATCTAAACAATTTATATATATATATATATATATATATATATATATATATATATATATATATATATATATATATATATATATACTACAACCAAAAACAATGAACGTAACACAATCTGTTTTGTAATTCTTGTAAACAAAATTTCTTACATAATAATTCCTGGGAAATTATTTAAGACAAGGGAAATAGGGGAAATAATCACTCTCTTAATATAAATATGTATATATTTACACATTTAATTGTAAATGTCAATACAAATAAATAATTACTTTAGAATATAATGAAATTGTTTAAGACTATTCGTGTTTACAAAATGTTTTTGTCTATAATCAGAATTTAATATATCGTCATCATAAATGCTAAAGTATTACAGCATAATGAAAGTTTTTAAAATCAGAGTTGGTATAAAACCACGCTTTTCGATATATTAGAAAAAACATTCGGAATAACATCCTACATGTAACTGAACAACGGTCTTACATTACTATTCATATATTTCAATTATCTACTGCTCCTTTTTGTTCTTAAAGATCATTTTTTAAACATAGTGATAGGTATGGGTTAGATCACTGTATTGATCACACACCTTTTTTACTGGTAATTTCAAAAACAATATTCACAGAGTTTTACGTTTAAAAAGCTAATTTTCTGGCGGCATGGTACTATGGTACATCATTACGCGTTTTTCTACATGTACTTAACAGATCAGTTTGGGTTGGGTTGGGGGGGGGGATGGGTTCAACCTTATATTCACCACTGTCCGTTCACTTTAGGTCAATTATCCAACCCAGTGTATACCTAGGTGTGACATTAATGTCGCTCTACACAATTGTGGTGGTGAGGTGTGTGTGATTTACATAGATGTGCCGACCAAAAATATTTTTTTAACAAATATCATTGTTTAAAACTTTGAATTTAAAAAGTTTCCAAAAAGGCGCCACTTTGCTGAAAATGGCCAGAGGGGGAGCGGCCGCTCCCCCTGCTCCCCCCTGCGTACGCTACTGATTGATCTCTTGCATTGTTTCAATGATTTTTTTTTTCCAAATTTAAGCAAACTTTTTGCAGGAAATTAAACATTTAATTCTGGTATGAAAGAAGAGTTTTTAATTTATTAAATTTCCTTTGTCTTACACAACATTATAAGTAATTTAACGCAGAGGTATTATCTCTAAAAATATAAATAACATAAATTGCTTGGGGTTTTATTTATATCAATCATAGGCACCGCCGTTTAATTGTATGCATTTTGTATGCAGATGAAATATTTCCTTGCTTGTTGTAAGATACAAATATTTCGATGCTAAGTTGAACGTAGTGGCACCCACACCAAAAATAACCCGCGTCCACAAAAATCAACTTATTCGACCCATCCCCCACCCTTCCCCCACACACCACATTACCAACGTTCGATAATGACCCATTCGATAAAGACCCATTCGATAAAGACCCATTCAATAAAGACCCATTCAATAAAGACCCATTCAATAAAGACCCATTCGATAAAGACCCATTCGGTAAAGACCCATTCGATAATGACCCCTTTGGTAATGACCCATTCGATAAAGACCCATTCGATAAAGACCCATTCGATAAAGACCCATTCGATAAAGACCCATTCGATAAAGACCCATTAGATAATGACCCCTTTGGTAAAGACCTATTCGATAATGACCCCTTTGGTAATGACCCACTCGATAATGCCGTTATTCTCTCTCTCAGATTCTGTGTACGGCGCACAAGACACGACTCTACTGGACGCCTACCACAGCAGTAACTCTAACGGTGGCAGTGGAAGATCTCAGGGCACCGACCTAATGAACGGCGTGGTCGGCGCCTATATGATCAACGAATATGTTTTCTAGGACGATTGGATTTCATGTACCTTTTTGTTTCTTAATGTTATGTATCTACACAAACTTACCGTGCCATTGAAGTCAACTTGATTGCTACCAATAAGGTGTGACCTCTGCATCATAAGTTGATACTTTGTTTGGTAGAGTCAAGCAACTATTAACCAAAAGCGTGTGTAGCCCAATACACCTTTCACTGCCCACATAGCTTGGTTATTGAGAGAGAGGTGACAGATCTAGATCTAAAAACATCTCCGGAAAAAATGCTTGAGCTAAAATTATAGAAAATGAAATGTGTTTGTAAAAGAATCAAATAAAATGTAACAGTTCAAACAAATACAGCGTAGCATGTGTTAGTTTTATTGAAACAATGCAACCAACATACAGCTAAACACAGCACGCGGACATTTTATAGAAAATTATAAAACCCACATATATAAATCATGTCTATCTAAACACTTGCTCAGTCTTTTTATTGAATATTACATCAGAAACATGCGGCATATTTGTAACTATTTCACCCAAGTCATTTGAATAAAGCTTAATTGTACTTTTATTGCTAAAACAGCTCCATAAACCCACAGAGCTCTGTAAGCTCAAGCTAAAACAGCCCCACAACACACAGATCTGTGTAAGCTCAAGCTAAAACAGCTCCACCGTGCCCATAGCCCCAAGCGCCATGACCCTGTCCATCAAGTTCTGTGAGGCCGGGGGTCTGGCCGCAGCACTTCCGGTCAAGCCGTCCGTCCTGGGCTGTCTGGACATTGCAGCAAAGCTGAAGAGCGGACTGTTGGGCAGCTCAATCTTGTCTTTACCCATGGCGGTTCGGAACATGTTGATCGTTTTGATATCGAAGCCAAAGGAATCGGGTGGGGGCTGAGCTGGGGGCTGAGCTGGAGGGGCGGGGGGCTGGTACACTGGGGGTGTATAGCTGCTGGGGGCTTGTGGGCGTGGATCTGAATAGCCGTACCGCTCAAGTCCGGGATTTTGTTGAAAGTTGGTGTTGGGTCCACTTCCGGTTTGGGGAGGCTGGTAACTGTAGCCGCCATTTTGTTGGTTGCCGTTGTACGCTCCAGGCTGTGGCTGTGTGTTGGTGTAGGGTTGTTGTTGGTAGTTGTTGGGCGCAAACTGTGGTTGTTGCTGTCTTGGGTCGTACGTGTTTGAACTGTACTGTTGTTGTGGTGGTGGCCTTTGGTCGTAGCCGTTGCTGTTGTACTGTGGTTGCTGTTGTGACATTCCGGGGTTCTGTTGACCGGGTTGTGATATGGGTTGGGATATGGGTTGTGTGGGTTGGCCCATGTAGGGCTGCTGACTCGCGCCTTGGTACGGTCCGTTGGCGTCGCTACGGTATGGTGGGCCGTAGTTACCGCCGCTGTTTTGTGGTTGGCCGTAGTTACTGCCGCTGTTTTGTGGTTGGCCGAAGTTACCGCCGCTGTTTTGTGGTTGTGGTTGGCCGTAGTTACCGCCGCTGTTTTGTGGTTGGCCGTAGTTAGTGCCGCTGTTTTGAGGTTGGGGTTGGCCGTAGTTACCGCCGCTGTTTTGTGGTTGGCCGTAGTTACCGCCGCTGTTTTGTGGTTGGCCGTAGTTAGTGCCGCTGTTTTGAGGTTGGGGTTGGCCGTAGTTACCGCCGCTGTTTTGTGGTTGGCCGAAGTTACTGCCGCTGTTTTGTGGCTGTTGTGGAGGCGAATAAAATTGCCCACCCTGCTGAGGCGTGTAACTGAACCCTCCTCCCTGTGGGGTTGTCGGCTGTGTCCAGGGCTGGGGCTCGCTGCCGCCCCCTGCCGGGAAACCTGTGCTGTTGGGCGCTAGCTCGTACATCCCACTGGCCGGTGACCCGAACGCCGCGCCCCCAGGTGGTGAGATCCCAGGCGACCCCCCGTTACCCGTTGAGTACTGTTGGGGCTGATAGTTCTGGGCAGATGGAAACATCGTGTTACCTGTCTGGGGGAAAGAGTTAGGTGGGGTGGGGCTGCCAAATTGTCCCGTGGACCCGAACATGCCAGCACCGGGCGGGGGGTCGCTACCTTGGCTGTTTGGGCTCGTGGCTCCGGGTAGACCGCCAGTGTTGGAGGCTAGCGGCGAGGTGTACAAACCACCAGCTGCAGAGGGCGGCGTCCCGAACACGCTGGTCAGTCGAAACATCCCGGGCTCATTCGCGGAGGGGAACGATTTGGTTGGACCAAGGTCAAACTGAGATGGAGAGGTAAAAAATCTGTTTCCGGTTTGTGGAGGGCTGAAGAAGCCACCACCTATATCACCCGGGAGCAGGGCGTCGCCCTGGCCGGGAGTTGCGGCGGCCGCAGCGGCGGCCTGCTTTGCCGCCTTCTCCGAGCCTGGCGGTGGGGCGGGGTCAAGGTCAAAGAGCTCTTGCGCCATGGGCGACCTGAGGAAAGTTGAGGTGAAAGGATCCATCGAGCCAGGGATCAAATTTTGGTAGCCAGACTGGGGCAGGAAACTCTTGGACGCCATGCTCATCAGGTACTGGGGCAGTGCTGCAATGTACAGGTGTGTGAGAGGCGACAGGTAGATGTAATGTACAGGTGTGTGAGTGGTGACAGGTAGATGTAATGTACAGGTGTGTGAGAGGTGACGCGACAGGTAGATGTAATGTACAGGTGTGTAAGTAGTGGCGCGACAGGTAGATATAATGTACAGGTGTGTGAGTGGTGGCGCGACAGGGTGATGCAATGTGGGGAAGTGCTAGCACGCCACTCGACATGTAGGTGGCTGAGTACTAGCAGGCCACACAACATGTGGGTGGCTGAGTGCTAGCAGGCCACACAACATGTGGGTGTGTGGGTGCTAACAAGCCACACAACACGTTGGTGGCTGGGTACTAACAAGCCACACGAAATGTGGGTGGCTGGGTGCTAACAAGCCACACGAAATGTGGGTGGCTGACTCCTAACAACATGGGCGACAAAGTATGCCCTGTATATTTTGAAATACTTATATAACAGTATATGTGGGTGGGTTGGTGTGTCGGAAATATCACAAGTCAGTGTTATGTAATATGTAAACGATTTAAAAGAACAACGAGAAATAAACACATTAAACACTTACGTTGTGCTGTGACCAGCTAGAAATAAACACATTGAACACTTACGTTGTGACCAGCTAGAACTAAACACATTGAACACTTACGTTGTGCTGTAACCAGCTAGAACTAAACACATTGAACACTTACGTTGTGACCAGCTAGAAATAAACACATTAATCACTTACCTTGTGACCAGCTAGAAGTAAACACATTGAACACTTACGTTGTGACCAGCTAGAAATAAACACATTGAACACTTACCTTGTGACCAGCTAGAAATAAACACATTGAACACTTACGTTGTGACCAACTAGAAATAAACACATTGAACACTTACGCTGTGCTGTGACCAGCTAGAAATAAACACATTGAACACTTACCTTTTGACCAGCTAGAACTAAACACATTGAACACTTACGTTATGACCAGCTAGAAATAAACACATTGAACACTTACGTTATGCTGTGACCAGCTAGAAATAAACACATTGAACACTTACGTTGTGACCAGCTTTAACTTAACACATTAAACACTTACGTTGTGACCAGCTAGAACTAAACACATTGAACACCTACGTTGTGACCAGCTAGAACTAAACACATTGAACACTTACGTTGTGACCAGCTAGAACTAAACACATTGAACACTTACGTTGTGACCAGCTAGAAATAAACACATTGAACACTTACCTTGTGACCAGCTAGAACTAAACACATTGAACACTGACGTTGTGACCAGCTAGAACTAAACACATTGAACACTTACGTTGTGACCAGCTAGAAATAAACACATTGAACACTTACCTTGTGACCAGCTAGAAATAAACACATTGAACACTGACCTTGTGACCAGCTAGAACTAAACACATTGAACACTGACGTTGTGACCAGCTAGAACTAAACACATTGAACACTTACGTTGTGACCAGCTAGAAATAAACACATTGAACACTTACAATGTGACCAGCTAGAACTAAACACATTGAACACTTACAATGTGACCAGCTAGAACTAAACACATTGAACACTTACGTTGTGACCAGCTAGAACTAAACACATTGAACACTTACGTTGTGACCAGCTAGAACTAAACACATTGAACACTTACGTTGTGCTGCGACCAGCGAGAAACAAGCCAGCACCAGAAACATGGTGACGGAGGGGGATGCTGTTGATCCTTCAATAAAGGCTGATGGTGATGCTGTTGATCCTTCAATGGAAGCGGAGGGTGATGCTGTTGATCCTTCAATGGAAGCGGAGGGGGATGCTGTTGATCCTTCAATGGAAGCGGAGGGTGTTGCTGTTGATCCTTCAATGGAAGCGGAGGGTGATGCTGTTGATCCTTCAATGGAAGAAACAAAACATTTTTTTGTATAGATGAATTGAATCCATACTGACTATCTAATTGTATGTGAACTCCAAGGCTAAAACTACTTTTAAATCTTAAAGAATCAAACTAATGGCAACTGGACTGGAGACTAGATTAGACACTAGCCTAGACACTAGCCTATACACGTGTCTAGATACTAGCCTAGATACAAAATGTATGGAACCAGTCTCTCATATTCACTTAGTCAAAGCCGGTAAAAAAAAGTGCACAAACAACAACAGACGCATCTCCTATGCAGTAAGAGTACACACTGCATTAGATTGTACAGGCTGTTAACTTTAATTAATTATTAGACAAATTGTTGTCATAATTACCCACATAGTTCACTTATCAGACAACAAAATAGGGCTGTTGTTTGTACACAAACACACAGACAAACAAACTGGCATCACACAAGGGAATATAAGGACCAGATAACTTTAGACACACAACACGGTAAACGTAAACATTAGTGCAAGTAAACAAATGTATACATTATCCTTGGGTAGGCTGATTAGTCTATTGCGTGCTTTAATAGCATTAAACAGCTTGCTAAACATTGTGTAAATATCTTTACAATCAAATGATAGGCTTATATATTTATCATTAATTTTCATGCACTATTTACAAAAGGCACCAGATGTAGGCTACTAGGAAACACAAACCTAACCAACAGCCTTCACTTCAACACACTGTGATTTATTTGTTATATTTTGTCATTGAGGAAACTACACGGTTTAATTATCATTTTCTGGTAGATGTGCTGGCAAAGTTAAATATCGCTGAATCCCATACACAAAAGTTGACAACATCAATACGCCTAAAATGTGTTTCTAATGTGAACATCACTCAATCAAATACATGATGAGACCAAAAAGATATCTCATTTATTCACATGTCTACAAATGCCAGAAAATGTGCTCACCAGAAAAGTTGACAGCTCCGTACAAAACTCGACAGACACCCAAGTTCTGCTGAAAGTTGACGTCGTGAATCTCCCTCTATGATGCCAGCAGCTACGGCAGAACTCTGGCCATGGAGGCGGTCAACTAACTGGCTGCCCTCGGTCAACTAACTGGCTCCGGACGTTAGGCAGGAAATAGTGCCGTCAAGTTGTCAGAGAGGAGCCCGAAGATGCAGTGGCTAGGCCTGTGTACCAATACATGGGTCAGGACATGGGGGGGGGGGGGGGGGAGGGTGTCGGTGATGGGAATTTTAATTCCTTATTGTTACATACAAATAATCAGCAATTTAAATCAGAAGATGTAAAACAGCTCTATTTTACTATCATTTAAATATTTAAAAAATCAATTTTTTTATTCTATATAATCTATCTAATTTACTCTACAAGTATCCTAACTGTCGTATTATAAAAAAATATCTATTTTCAAATAAAAAATTACTTTAATAATAGTTAGACCACATTGATTAGTATAGAGTAGAGTGCTTACAGTAGTTACACCACTCAGGGGACGTAACCGAATAGTTTCTTCATAGCCTCTCTTGGGTAAAATGCGAGGCATCGTTGAGGTCGGCTGTCAGAGATGATGGAGCAACATCTTCATGTCTGACACGTCATGTGGACCGGCATAACGCGCTTGTTTAGCCTAAATTACGTCTTATAACGTATACATCTTGTTTTATTTGGGGACTGAAAGACAACAAAAAACAATTAATTTCAAAACGTTGTCAGCTATTCCATGAGATATTTCTATAGCGAGGTTTGTTCCCTTTAGGAAACTGCTGTGGATGCATGCTGGCTACATAATGAAACTCACAGCTGTAGGTTGTGTCAAGAGTAATTATATTTACACGTCGGGCTAAGTAACAAACAAAAGCTTTGTCAAACATGGGGGGGGGGGGTGAATTAAGATGTTGAGAACCGTTGAAGTAGAAAATAAACGAATCAAAAAGGCAACAACAACTAAATTATGCGCGTCACGATGTTAGGTAAAAATACATTGAATTAATTAACATAGGTTTAGACTGTTTACCAGAATAAATAACATTGCTTCCTAGTTGTTGTGTTTTGATTCTGCATAAATGACTTCTGTTTTTTGCCTATTTGTAATATATATAGGACGTTAAACAATGGAAAAGTTCGTGCAAAAATCATTTTCACATCGAATTTAGGGCAGATGTTAACAGGTCAAGCTCGTTATTTTCATACAACCTCGTTATCGTCATCCAACATCGTTATCGTCATCCAACATCGTTATCGTCATCCAACATCGTTATCGTCATCCAACATCGTTATCGTCATCCAACATCGTTATCGTCATCCAACATCGTTATCGTCATCCAACATCGTTATCGTCATCCAACATCGTTATCGTCATCCAACATCGTTATCGTCATCCAACATCGTTATCGTCATCCAACATCGTTATCGCTATCTAACGTAGGTATCATCAGCCAACCACATTACCTTTATCTACCTCGTCATCGTTATTTAGCCTCATTATCGCTATCCAACTACAACACTATTGTGTAGGTATTTAAACTGCTGCTGTGGTGATACCTGATCTAAGTAACTGTGATAGTACTTCAACATCACAAAACTCATGGTAGCGTGACATTTCTTACAACATGACAATAGTAAATGTAATGTTGTTAACAACATTGGGCGGAAGTACTGATCGGTAATAGGACACACAGAAGTACGAAATGTTGATAACATAGCGTATCAGACGCCGTTTTTTTTTCTAAATTGCGTTAAAAATTGAAACATAAATTTAATGGTAGATAGCGTCAAATAAAGTAGCAAGAAAATAGTTAACCAGGCCTCAGCGCAATTCATTAGGTAAAGAAAAAAAGCACGGACCGCTAATATCGACAACCTTTACCAGTATTAAAAAACCCATTGGCGGACTACTACAATTTAAAAAATGTTCTCGTATATTTCCATCTATATAGCAGTAAGAGGAGGACACTTCCAGGGCTATAAAGATGTTTTTTTAAATTAATTTTTTAAATACTTACATATGTAAACAGAATAGATCCGCGCAAAATAAAAGAACACCAAATCAACGCAAACAGTGTGAGTAAAATCAGCACTTTCTAAAAGAAATAAACCGGGAGTGATCTTTCCTAAACTTTCTCGAATATTCTTAAATAACACTACAGAGGATGGCAACTCGGGATATAGACATGATTATTAAGTACTTAAACTTTTTTAAATAGAAAAGAATCGCGTAGAAAAAAGAATTGCGTACCAAGTGAATGACAAACAATATCTGTATAATAGTGAGGAATATTAGACTTTAAAATGTTTTATCCTTTTTTTTTGAGAAGTGGAAATAGCATAAATTACTACTTCCGGTCAACGGAAATTACTCAATATTTGACAGAAAGCAGAGAATTTGATTTTTTACTTATATTTGAAATTTCGTTTATCTATCTCAAACGGTACTCAAGTTATATGCTTTTGAAAAATCAAAAGTATAATAAGTTCCACTTCTGGTTACCGGAAATCGCTAAAAAGCTGATACAGAACTGCGAATTTGATACCGTACCTAAATATATTAAATGTTATCAACCTAGGTGTAACTGTACTCAAGTTATCGTGCTCACAGACATATATACACAGACATACGGACAAAATTGCAAAACTAAGTTTTTCCGACTTATAAATTTGTCAAAATTTTGCACAATTGAAATACTTCTTCTATACTCTATACTTTGTATAAGAGAAAGTAAAAACATTGAATAATTTTCTGGAAGAAAAGGTAAATAGCGTCGTAAAGTACTGCTTCCAGTCATAAGAAATCACTCAAAATGTTAAAGAAAACAGCGATAAGATCATTTATCAATAAATAAAGTTTTGCATTTCTAATTAAAATAGTTTTAAAGTTATTTAGTATTTTAGTATTTTTAGAAACCAGAAATAAAGTACCACTTCTGGATAAGTGATCTAAGTACAAAATCTTTTTACTTATATTTTTAATTTCTTCTACATAAATGAAACAGTACTCAAGTTATCATTTTTCTACGGAAAAAGAGTAAAGTACTACTTCCGTTTATCGGAAATCGTAGAAATGTTGACCGAAATTCGCACATACTTGTTAGTGAAATTGCGCCTACCTAAATTTAATGGTACTTACGTTATTTGCTTTTAATAGACGAAAATTAGAGTACGCACTACTTCAGTTTACCGGAAATCGCTCAATTTAAAAAAAAAAAATTGATATAATAGTTACATATGAAATTTGGTAAATAAAACTGAAACGGTACTCAAGTTATGTTGTCTAGAAAAACGCAGACGGAGGGATAAAAATAAACAAGGATTTTATGGCACCGGAATGCTGTATAACATCGAAATATGTCAAAATCTCAATTTAGAATTTCCACGATAACGTATTTCCCGTATACGATAATGTAAGGTGGTGTAAAACGGCCAAAAAAATCACTTCTTCTTGCCTGTATACAGGGTATAGAGGAAGTATTATAGTCGCGCACAAAAATCACATGAAATTTTTACAGTTTTCACCGTTTTACACCTCTGTACTTCATCGTATTTGGAGTATAGGGAACTTATTTTAATCGGGCGAAAACTCTAAATCCAGTTTTATAAAATTTTAGGCGTTTTACGCGTAATCGAGTCGGAAATACTGGGCTTTGCAATTCTGTCCGTGTGTCTGTGTGGATGTGTGTATGTATGTGAAAACGATAACTTGAGTACCGTTACAGTTGGTGTGATGAAAATTCATATATACACATTACATCAAATTTGTAGTTCTGCATAAACTTTTCTGCGATTTCCGGTAAACAGAAGTGGGATTTATTCTTCTTTTGGTTTTTTAAAAGCCTACAACTTGAGTACTGTTTTTGATAGATAGATGAAATTTTACATTTAAGTAAGAAACTCTAATTCTCTGTTTTCTGTCAAAATTTGAGTAAATTCCGGTGACCGGAAGTAGTACTTTACGCGATTTCCGATTTCTAAAAAAAAAAAAAAAAAACCGCTTATCTATCTATATATATAATTCTCTTCTGGGAGACGCTAGAAAACAAGCTGTAAACGCGCTCCCTACCATCCCCACCCCTACATGGTCTTAGTGAGCTGTGGTTCACGCTATATTTACCTTCGTGGAGTCGGGTTTAGTGACGGCTATTAGGGGCAGATAATTTAGTTTGAAACGATTTTAAACGTGGGGGGGGGGAAGGAAAGGGGGGGGGGGGGGGGATTATGGTCCTCAACGAGCTACTTATAGTGTTTTAAAGAAGTATTTTCAGTGTCAGCATTGGTACTGTCGAATTCACAAATTATGAATTGCTGAAAAGTAGAAAAAACAACAACTAAATAGCGGCGTATGTTATGCCGCGGGCCGGCTCGTATATATAATTCTCTTCTGGGAGACGCTAGAAAACAAGCTGTAAGCGCGCTCCCTATCACCCCACCCCTACATGGTCTGGTGAGCTTTGGTTCACGCTAAATGTTTACAATCATAGAGCAAATATTTTCAGTGGCAGCATTGGTACTGTCGAATTCACAAGTTATGAATTACTGAAAAGTAGAAAATAAAACAACTAAATAGCGGCGCATGATACGCCGCGGGTCTGCTCGTGAATTTATAAAGTACTAATGTTCCTCACTATCATGCACACCCGTTCATTTGTTACGCATTCTTTTTTTCTACGCTGATTATATTATACTTTTTTTAATTTCAAGCAATCAAAAATTGATTTTAAAAAATTATGTTTAAATCCCAAGTTGACCCCCCCCCCCCCCCAATCACCCCGTAGTCTTTTATAAGAATGTTCGAGAAAGTTTAGGAGAGATCACTCCCGCTTTATTTATATTATCATTCACAGACAGTTTCGACATGTCTGTTTAGGTCTTGTGTCATTCTCTGTCTTGTAACTTTCGGTCTTTTATCTTTCTCTTATTGACTTGTATCATTCACTTTTTTCACGTTCTATTATTTACATTTTAGTTCAATTTTGACTGGTGTACTTAGGCAAATAAAGCTGTTTTATACTTTAAACTTAAGTTTTAAATAGAATACATTTGAATATATTAAATATGCCAGCAAGACAAAGGAGTGGTCCCGTTAGCGAAATTTTTAAAATTATATTAGCATAATCGTCGTCATCTTTCATATTTACATCCCTCTTTGTTGTGAGATCCTGTCGTTACACGAGCAAAGAAATAGCTGCGTAAACAAATATTTGTCTCGTTAGAATGTCCATGTTACCCGACATCAAGAAGTGCGACATACCTAACAGAAAATGTCGTTAGAATTTCCATGTTAACTGACAGCAAGAAGTGCGACATGCCTGACAGAAAATGTCGTGTTGGAATGTCCATGTTACCCGATATGAAGACATGTAACATATCTGACAGAAATGTCTTTCTAGAATGTCCATTAAAACCGACATCAAGAATTGCGACATGCCTGATAGAAAATGTCGTTAGAATGTCCATTAAACCTGACATCAAGAAGTGCGACATACCTGAAAGAAAATGTCTTGTTAGACATAGAATGTCCATGTTGACTACATCGTTTAGTCTGTAATTGTAGACTAACTCGATTGATTGTGTGAATTGTGCTTTCAAACGACAGGAACT